TCTGATATGCAGGATGTATTTCAATATGTTACAAAGAGGTCGTGACCCACAGGTTGAGAACCGCTGCGCTATCACATGCTGCCCTTAAGATCTTACAGTTTGGAGGATATATAGGTAAGCAGCTGCAGTTCAGAGCAATGAAGTCCGTAATGGGAGTGTGTAATAGGTTTAGTGGGAGTAGACAGCACCTGCTTTCCTTTGTTTCTGGAGATGAAGAGGCATCAGGTGAAATTCCACTGAGAAGGAAAAGGAAAAGCTCTTAAGCTGAAAAAAGAATGAGTAGACTTTTGCTGGAGGTGTAGGAAATCAAGTTTGGGAAGTAACATCATAACCTGTAAGGGATAAGCTTCCTGTAGGAAAGCATTGGCACATGATTTGAGGATTTTTGAGTTACCTTTCTCTAAGATCACTCTACAGCTTGAAAGCCAGTTCCAACCTGACCCTGCACTAAGCTAGAATTCTTGGAAACCCAGACTAGTCTGATAAATGGCAAACTAATTTAAATCCTAAATGGAAGTTACATAACTTAAAAAAAAATTGAAATTAAATTATTGTGTTTGTTTATATCGGCATGTTTTAAGTCTTTCTGTCACCTTACTTTGGTCTGTTAACAACGTCACATTATCCTGCCCTTATAGCACCATCATATAGGTCTATTTTATTTATTGAAAGTCTATGTCTAAGAAACAGTAACAGTTAACTTTGTAGATCTTGGTAAAATACTAGCATATTAAATCATTCTTCCCCAAAGTCTTGGTATTTCTGCTAGGCTATTTTTTTGTTCCTGTGTATTTCAAACATGCACATATAGTCAATAAAATTACTTTCTGTCATGTAAAGTATGTGATCTACATAAAATTCTGTCTATTTATTTATTTATTTTTTCTTTATTAAATCATAGCTGTGTACATTGATGCAGTCATGGGTACAATGTGCTAGTTATACATACAATCTGAAATGCTTTCATCAAACTGGTCAACATAGCCTTTATGGCATTTTCTTAGTTATTGTGTTAAGACCATTTATTTTAATAACTTAATACTGTTGCAGCTTTGATGCAATACTGTTTTTTTTTTTTTATTTTTGTTGTTATGGGGTTGTTTTGATGCTTTTTATTTCATAGAGCAGCAAATAGATAACTTATAAGGATGATAGAAGGCACAAATTTACTTCAGTTACTATGAATTCTAAAGGTGATGTTTGCCTAGTTATGTTTAAAGAAGTATGACAATATTTAATTACAGTATTCATGACTATAATCTTAGTCTCTTCGTAATTCTTTTAATACTTACAGTTTTTAATAAAATGTTAATGGAATTTTAAGATATTGCAGAGGCTGATGTATTTGGCCTGAAAATGTAAAATGTTTTGATTCATTTCCAAGTATTACTTTAGGCCAGAGTTCTATAAATTATATAGCTATTTGCTGGTTTGGTTTACCCAGGTCTCTTCAGGGTCCAGTTACAAAAGGAGCCTCTCAAATCTACCACACTATCAGTTCTTCCCCTACCTGCCACCATCATTTGCTTCCCCCTCCTTAAATGTTCACCTACTTTTTTTTTTTTTTTGCAGTTTTTGGTCGGGGCTGGGTTTGAACCCGCCACCTCCAGCATATGGGGCTGGCACCTTACTCCTTTAAGCCACAGGCACTGCCCTTCACCTACTTTTTTTAAAGTACATATGGCTTTAACATAATGCATGAAACCCAGTCAAAAGAGAAAAAAATTTTATTTCATACTTTTTAAGACTATGATAATTTTAAAATAGTTTGAACTTGTGTGCCTTTAATGGCCTATACTCTACTTTTTAGCAGACATTGACAGGGTGGCTAGAATGGCGTTCATTATCCTCTATTCCTTTGCCCAGGACAAGGTAAAATCCGAGGAGAAAAGAGTAGTCAAACCTCCAGGGGTTAAGGGTTTGAATGGGTAGTATGAGACAACAACAGAAAATATAGTAAGTGCCAAAGGTTTCTGAACCTTCTGTGGCCTTGACTTAGAGATTAGGGAGTTCAGATTGTGTTTCCTCCTTAGTGCTATAGAATTGCTGATAATGCTTGCTAGAAATAATGTGAAACTGTACTTTAACTTCATACTAACAGTATAGACATACAATTAATTTTGACAATAGTTGTTTGTTTTGACTTCTGTTAAGGAAGGTGGAGGTGTTATTGAAACTTAAAGATTCTCTCCAGTCTGTTTAAATAGTGAGTATAGGATAGGGAACTGATTACAAAGCAAGATTTTAGCTTAAGCGGTTTTAAGCTTCTTTGTATCATGAAAATCTCATAAAACCTATGCAGTCTTATCAGAAAGTGCACATAATGCAAATATGCGCACAATTCCAGAGGTTTACAGAACTGAAGCTCATTTATGGACCTTGCGCTAAGTCAGTTTCTTCATTTCTGGACAGTTTTATTCTTTTAGTTTTATTTAGTTTGTAGCTTGTTTAAGTTGTTGCAGAGAAGACGATGCTTATGAACTGAAATTACAGGTTTAATTTCCATAGAGACATTTTTGGCCATACTTACGCCACCAACATATATATCAAATTTAACTATTTTGTGTGTGGAACAAAATACATGTACATCCACACACATGTATAATATTGATCATAACATAATTAGATAAGATCATGTGAGTTCATTGCAACTGAAAAAAAATCATAAAATGCAAAGTAGATGTATCTCTCATTTGGGAATGAGGAAAGATTAACATTAGAGTTCTTCTGTTATTTTGGATTCTTTGTTTTGTATTTTTTCTTAACTTTAAATGTACATCATAGTAATTGCTAATGGTGGTGGTAATTTAGCAAAAATTAAAATTGTGTAATAGTGGTTTTTAGATTTAGTTGTCTTGACACCTTAAAGATTTATAAATTCTTTCAGGCATTGAAATTTGGTTCTTTTTTTTTTTTTTTAACCTTATCCCAGAAGTTTATATGCATGATGTGTAACTTAGTGTTAAAGAAAAGCAATAACATTAATTATATTTTATCAATGTAAAAGTTCTTTGACAGGTTTCCATCTGAATCTGTGGAGTTGATCTGAAGGCAGAGTGATGCTGGAAGGGTGGCAGAAAGCATAGCGAGAAGCAGGGACTAGTGTATGGGGCGATACGCATTAAACATGGTTACAAATTACCTGGATAAATAGTCCTCATGCAATCTAATGCTCCTTTACCTGTTTATAGGTAAACTTCCTGTGAAGTTTACTAAAGCAGTAACATTTAAACTATTTCTTCACTTTTTTATAGCAGAACCTCTGCAAGTTGACCACCCAAAGGAACTGTAACAAACTGGTCGATGTACAGAGGTGGTCAGAATAAGGAACTAGCTCTGCTATACTGATAACATACATGAGGTGTGTGGCTGGTCTATGAAAATTAGTTCTACTTAAGGAGGTGGTCAATATAGGGAGGTAGTCAACTACAGAGGTTCTATTATATTTACAGAATTGTCAAAAGTTGAAAATAAAATTTATGAGGAAAATAAGTATGCACGCTGCTGTATTTTTTTTTTTCTTGAAGACACTGATGTTGGAATCAGGCACACAGTGAAATATTCACATCTGTAAAATGTAGTTATCACTATTACAAAGTGTTGTAAAAGCAGGATAGAAAATGATAGCACTGTATAGTACAGACAAGTAAACTTGTTCTTTATGATGCATGTACTTGGCATTTTATACAGTCCTGTACTGGCTGTTTCTAAGATCACAAATGAAATTTTAAAGCCAAGAATAATAGTTAAATACCATATATAATGTTAATATTCCGATATGCTATACAAAATATCCCTCTAGGTCAGTGGTCAACCTGTGGGTCACGACCCTTTGTAACAGTGAAAATACATGGCGGCGTTAGGAAGCTTGAGAACCACTGCTGTAGGTAATACAGGATTTCCCACTATCTCTGTATGTCTGTGCTTAACAGAAATGTTACAAGGATGTTAAGCATTGAATGGCAGCCAGATTGCTGAGGAGGTTATGAACTTAGAGCCTTTAGTAATATTTGAAAATGAATCATTGTAGTTTATTAAAACCAGGTTTAATTTACCTTTTTTAATAACTTTATAGTACTAGTAAATAGCCCTTGACCTCTATAAAAAAGAGAACATATGAGGAATTGCAACTCACTTACTTGCCTATTAAAACCAAAGAAAGTCTTGCATTTGAGGATTGCTTTCAACCAATTGAGCATTCCTGAGGTCTGTCCAAGAAGTCTCGAAGGTTCACTTGCAATTCTGGAAAAAAGTAAAATACTATAGGCATAAATATGAGTATTCTTGTCACTAAGGAGAACTTTTCTACTAGATATTATTACTAATATAGCTTGAGAGGTGGTTTCCTAAATTTGAGACCAGAGTATGAGTTCCTCAAGGCCAGTAATTACAGTGTATTCACAACAAGTTTTTGGGAAGTCAGTTGATACTGTAACTGGCACAACTAAGTGATTGTATGGAATGAATCTGGGCAAGACCCTACCTAATGCCTTATAAGTCCTCTAGGAACAAAGATGTTTGAAACCAAGGTGATCTGGGTATAGAAGAAATAAGAATAAATGTAAATCGTTGCCATCAGATGTGTTAGGTGCTCACCTAGGCTTTAACTACCCTGGGTTTCATATTACTGGGTGGAAAAACATTATAAGAAAAAGGGAAGGAACCCAGAAAAATGAAAAGGAAGGAACACATTGGATAAAGAAATTTTGTCCCTAAATGCTTATGGAGGTCTCCTAGGTGATTTTTTTTCTTGTAGTAGCATTTCTGACAGATTTTAAAGTGTTTTTCATTACTAGAAGTATTACTTATTTTATATCTGGATATAAGGTACTTGTTTACCTGTGAAAGAAAAATATAGGTGACATAACTCTTCTAATAATTAGATTCTGTATGCAGGTTAAGGCTAGTAATCATATATGTAATTTGATCCATTAAGTAGAACCAATAGTAACATAACTAATCTGGTTGACCAATATTACTTTTCTCTTGCTTGGTCTTAGGGTTTTGACCCACCACATCAAAGTGATACAAGAACTATTTACATAGCCAACAGGTTTCCTCAGAATGGGCTTTACACACCTCAGAAATTTATAGATAACCGAATCATTTCATCTAAGGTAAGGATTGACACTTTTGTTATTAAAACTGTAGATACGTACAGTTTTATTTTGAAAAGCGATGTACTGTGTATGTTTGAATAATATATTTATATCCTTACAAAG